GGGCGAAACGATGTCGGCAATGGCGCGCAGCGTCGCCGCTGCCCAGGCTGCTCTCGACGAAGGGCATCCCCGGGCAGCGCCGCTGCCCGCAGAGGCGGTGGCGGGCACCCCCAAGCAGGCTGCAGAAACCGCGCCGTCGCTGAACGCGACGCGGCTACATTCGTTGCGCAAGTGCCCCCTGCCCAACTCTGCGCGCTGGATGAGGTCGGCCGCGAGTCCTGCGTCTTGTCTCCACGCCGCTCGCGAGATGGACCGCGTAGTGATGGCGCGCGCGGCTACGGCGGGTGGCTGTCGTGAACCTCCAGGCGCGGTGGTGAGACAGTCCCTGGTGAGCTTCGCGGCATTGATCGCGTTGGCACGCATGCTGAGACGGCGTCGAGGTGTGGGGCGGCCCTGTAGGTTGGAGAGGGGGCTCAGGATGTCATAGTGGCGTTGAAACGGCGGCAGCTTGAAGAGGGAGTCAGGGATGCTCTGGTCTTCGTCTTGCACAGATTCAACTAGTTTCATGCGTGGCGATAGGATGCAATGACCTCAAATGCGGGCATTGCTCAAAGTAGCCACCCCGTAATCTGCAACTGTGCAAACTTGACATGGCATGGGCAGGGGGGCTGATGGACGCCCGGTCAATCCTCGCAGCCGTCAAAGAATGGCGGTCGAACCGCGCCGGACGGCTGTTTTCCACCACCACCGTGCTGCCAAACAACCGCTTCCAGAAGGATCGTTGGTGTTGGTCCCCCGAATGTCAGCGAAAGGCGGGCGAGGGCGCTGGCGGGGCCGCTTGCCGGAGGCGTTGTGCATGGGGACGGGGTCTCGTCGCGGATGTTGACGTCGCCGAGCGCCGCGAAAAGTCTCGGGCGAGGCGCGGCCGCCGCCCGTCGCTGAGCCACTCGAGCTAAATCAAGCTGAAGAGCTGCGCGATGCTGCGGCTCGAGATCGTGGGTGCGAGCGTTCACGATGGCGAGGCGGCGCTCCTCGTCGCTGCGCTCCTCCAGGAGACAGGCGGGTGCCCTTGGCGACAGTGCGGTGGCAATAAGTACCGACGTCGGCGCCCTTTGTCTACCCGGCTGCCCGCGGGCGGAGGGCGAGCGGCAGCCGGCGGAGCGCGGGAAAATCATGGGGGCGCGGAGATAGTGGGGGCCGACGGCGAAGACGCGGAAGAAGAGCCGAACGAGCGTGAAATAAAACTGGCCTCCAACTCAGCCTCCGATCCAGAGCGTTCGGGTGCGCCGAGGTCCTCGGAGTCGGCAGGGTCGCCCACTGCCTGGATTGAATGGTGATCGCGGCCAGGAAAGGCCACCCCGCCTGTCCCCGCCCGCTCGAAGCCGTCGAAGAATGTCAGGCGTGGGTAGGGGAAGGAGTGGGGTCCAGCAGGCGGCGTTGATGGGCGGCGGGGCAGTGAACTTTTTGCGCTGCAGCAATGGCCTCCCGCTGAAGGTAGGCCCTGCGGGTCTGGGTCTTCTTCCTGCGGCGGCGCGGGTTGTGCTGGGTCAAATCCATGGCGTTCCACGCAACTATATGGCGCTGCCCCGCCCCCCGCCCCCCTGCGCGCCGCGATCTTCCGCGACGAATGAGCGGAGCTCGGCCGTGATGCGATCCTCGTCCAACCCGTGGCGGACGGCGGGCTGCTGGTTGAGGGCCAGCTTCGCGTCGACGTCGATGCTCCTGCCGATCTCCATTTTGACTGGCGGCCCCCCGTCCAGGGCGACCCGGCCCTTCGGCTGGCGCGCCTGGAAATGCTTGTCAAGGTGCCAGCCACAAAGGAGGCGATGAGGACGCCGAATTTGGATTTCTCTTCTGATCTGCTGGGGGCTGCGGCCAGCTCTCGCGCATCGCGTTGCTCGTTGTCCCTGGTTGCGTCGGTGGAGAAGTCGCGCCATTGACCTCCTGCAAGCTCGAGGGTTCTGGCCGACGCTGCTGCGCGCGGGGGGGTGAGCTCGCGACCTCCGCAAATTGGAGCGTGAATCGTTTGGCGGGGGCATCGCCCGCCGACTGGACCGCGCTCAGCTCGAGCCCCGTTCCGGCGATCCACTGGGAGAGGCCGTGGTAAACGGTATGTGGGGACGCAATCTCCGGGCAACCGATTTAATAGATCGATGGGTCAGTAGCGCGATCCCAGTCCGCCAGAGCGACGGCGTCGAGAGCAGGTAGCTGGCCCTCCGCGATGGCCAGCTGTCGCTGGACTTTGGCAACGCATTTTGCCGTTTGGCGCTGGGCATCCTCAGAGCGAGCCACACTTTGGCGAAGGTCTGCGACGGCTGCCTCGGTGGCGCCCAGCCTGCGGCTGGTGTTGACGCGGAGCTGGTCGGCGGAGGCGGCGAGAGATGTGGCAGTAACACAACTGAAGGTGTTCGTGGCTGTTGACGCGTGCTAGAAACTGAGCTGGAGGGTTGTCTGCGATGGATTGGGATGCTGCAGAAGGGGCGATGCCGGAGAGCAGCTCCAACTCTGTGGCCCTCAAGTCCATGGCTCGCTTCGGCATGCGCTGGTGCTCCAGCGAGAAACCAACCTCCGAGATCCGCAGGTGGTGCGGCTCCTTCAAGTGGAACATGTCCTCCCTGTCGAACGGGTCCTCCACGTGGTGCATCTCCTCCAGGTATAGCGGGCTTGACATTTGGTGCTTGGATCCGAGCATGTCCTCCTTCTTCTCCAAGTGGCACACATACTCCATGTGGTAATTGAGGCACGGCGTCGCGCCAGGGGTCTCTATCAAGTCGGTAAAGTGAATCAAATTTCGGTACTACTCTTCTTTCAGCGGGTTCGGACGCTGGTCCTTCTGCCCTCTTCCCAGGAAGTTTCGATGGAACGCTGCCTTCTGCATGGTGAGGGGCAGAGCTTTGGGCGGGGGCGTTGTGGTCGAACGCGACGACGGCCACGGTCCACCCGGTGCGCCTTGATGAAGAGCGCGTGGAACTTGATGTCGGTGCCCATCTCTGGGCTCTGGATCATCCTTTGCTGCAGCTTCGTCCCGCAAATTTTCTCGACGTCCTGCTCCTCGTTGAGCAGGTGTGCGGGCTGGGCCAGATCGGTGCTCACATTGTCTTCCAGCGGGACCTCGCGTGCCAGATGAACGAGCAGCTCGATGTTGGCGATGTCCTTGTTGGTCTCTTTGTTTTGCGGTTCGGTGTCCACGGTCGTGCGGGGAGCAGGGTCGCAAGAAGGTTTGGCACGGTTGCTGCCTCTCCCGCTATTGATGGTGTTGCAATCACCGACGGAGGCCTCGTCCGTGATGGCGCTGTCCATGGAGACGTCGGTGCGCGGCACGGTGACGAAAGCGAGGGAAGGGCGATTTGCACGAGAACGGCGCCGTAGAGCAGGACGAAGGGCTGCGGCTTGGATATCGTGGCCACGCGCACCAGCGAAACACGGCGACAGGATCAGCTCGGCCGTCGCAAGGAACAAGGATATGGAAGCCACGAAGGCACAGCGCGGGTGCCAGCTCACCTCTGAATGGTGCTGGAAATGGTTGGGGACATTCCGCAGCCCAGCGGTCTCCATGTGGCCGCTGCGCGGAATGGTTCATGGCACGTTTCTGCATTGTGCTCAGGTGCGGCAGCTACGCGTTGCCTTGCTTCAGTGAATCTCGCGGTACCTCTCTGCGTGATGGTACCTTGGGTGGCGCAGCACTGCGCTGTGGGGGGCGTGCCAGAGGCACCGCGGCACATGCAACATCTAAGTGCGATTTTGCATGTCTTCGACACTCAGAACGAGAGGGCCCCCCGAGGAGAGTCCTGCAGCTGCAAGTGCAGGTTCACTCTGCTGTGCTTTGCCTGCCTCTGCTGAGGCTGCGTCTTAATGGGCTGCTCCCTGCTTGCCAACAATACGTGCTCTCTGGCGTCTGCGTCTCGTCGGCATCTCCTTGGATGTGGTGCAGTCGAGGGTCACTGCTGTGGCGGCATGTAGACAACCTCTGTAAAGGAAATTACATCCACCAAGCCGTGTTATATTTGGCCACGCTCCGCCGGTCACAACAATGTGATTATGCACTCAGCAATGTAAACTGTAGCGCTCGCGACGGTGCCCCGAAACCTCGATTGTGATCTGATTTTGCGCGTGGGATCACTTTTGTCCAAGTTTCGAAATATCGAACGGACGAAGTTTTCAATTTCCACTACCCCTGCTGCCCCCTCCTTCCCCCAATCTCACTCTCACGCGCCCGTTTCAAAGTGCAACCTAGGAAGGGGATTGCGACTTGCATGCGTTTCGATCACCCATGGGTTCAGCATAGTGCTTGTGTATCTGCTGGATGCGGATACGTGCAGTTGCAGCTCATGAGTCACATGGTTGGTGATCGATGTCCAGGGCAGCATCCTCATGTGGGTCTGCATGTAGGCTCAAGGCTTAGGCTGGCGCTCCGAGAGCCAGGGCGAATTTTCCACACGCCCGGGCGGGTCTTGTGGCGAGCTGATGTTCTTGCGGAGGATCTCGAGAAAAAGCGCGGAACACGAGGAAAACGATAGATGAGGTGGAAGGACAACGACGACGGCGACGACGACGAGGAACAAAAGGGGGGTAGGGAAACCAACTGCATGCAGCTGGCTTTTCAGGCGCCTCCCAGCGCCAGAAGAGCCATGCATGGAGGAAAAGTGCCCAGGCGGTGGGGCCGAAACCAGCTGCGCGCAAGAGATTTCACCCCCTTTCCCCATCTCCCTCGTCCCAGACCTCCCACGTCGTGACAGTTTCATGTGCAGCCCTGGAAGCCGTGCTTCTGGGTTTTTGTTTGACGGCCTCTTGGAGGTCCAGTTAGGGCCTCCAGAAGCTGAAAATGGCAGAACACCGCTCGACTCGAGACGAAGACTCCGACATGTGACAATGAGTGTTTTTTCAACGCTCGGCCCCAAAGGTCCCGACCCTTTCCCTTGGGGGCAATGTTTCGTCCCGGATCCGTTTTTGGCAGCTCTGGGGCCCGAAAACTGCCTCCGGATGCCACGGCGAGGAGGAACAGCACCCGGATTGACACAATCATGTCATCGGATATATGGGCCTGGGCTGCGGGGGGGGGCCTGCTCCAGCTCGCTGCCCGCCAGCCCGGAGCGGCAGAGGAGGTCGCGGGCGTCCCCAGCGGCGAGGAAGCCCCGCCTCGCTTGGTCCGAGGCGACGAAGATCCTGGCCTCGGATGCCGCCGCTACCGTCGCCGACGTCGGGGGAGGATGGGGTAGGGAGGAGGAGCGCACGTGGAGGGAGGACGTGGGGAACACATCTTTTCCGTGAGCCACTGCCAGGCCCGGCTTCCGAAGCGAGTGCCGAGCAGGGGGGACATCGCGCTGTAGAGCAATCGGAAAACTTCGCCTGTGCTCCGATGGGGGGAGACGGAATGTGGAACCAGCGCAATCTGGACCAGCGGAAAGGGCTGGGCCATGGGCCTGCTGGGATGGATGAGAAATGCAGCCCCGCGGAGCCCCACTCTGCTCCGCAAGGCCTTCGGGGTCGCATCGCCAGAGCGTCGGGCGGAGTCGCGGTGGCCGCTCAGGCCCGGCCAGAGCAAGCATTCGACCAACGGCCGGAGCGTTTGCGGTACGACGTCCGCGGTACGAGCCCACAGCCGCTGGCGTAATCAGGCAGATGTGATCAAGAATTGCCCTCCCCCGCCCGGTGCGTACGGGACCGAGCCCCCCCCCAGCCCCCGCTGATGTCGTCGTCGTCGTCGTCGTCGTCGTCGTCGTCGTCGTCGTCGTCGTCGTCGTCGTCCGTCGTCCGTCGTCCGTCGTCCGTCGTCCGTCGTCTGTCGTGCGTCGTGCGTCGTCCGTCGTCCGTCGTCCGTCGTCTGTCGTGCGTCGTCCGTCGTCCGTCGACGTCGTCGTCAGTCGTCCGTCGTCCGCCGGCCGTCGTCCATCGTCCGTCGTCCGCCGTCCGTCGTCCATCGTCCGTCGTTCGTCGTCCGTCGTCCGTCGTCCGTCGTCCGTCGTGCGTCGTCCGTCGTCGTCGTCGTCGTCGTCGTCGTCGTCGTCGTCGTCGCCGTTGTCCCTCCGCCCATCTCATCGGGGGGGTGGACTGTGGAACTCTGGGACCCATCCCATCCAGGGGGGGGCACCGTGAACCCACGACCCGACCATACATGCGAGGCTAGCGGCCTGGCCCACAGCCGCGGCACGCCGGGCCGCTACGACTGCGGGGCGAAGCCGACAGCCACGCGCCAGGCTGGGAGCCCACGTGGCTGGCAGCCGTGGGGCAGCACAGGTATCCAAGACCCAGCGCCGACTGACAGGTCGTGCGGCAGAGGAGAAGACCAGAATTGCTGGCCCCAGCCAATCCACGTACAGGGCCCAGCGCCTTGGCGAGGGCCGCCGTCTCTGGGAGGTGCGCTGGGGCTTCCCTGTGGGAAGGGCTCCCAAGTTTTGTGCTTATGGAGCTTTCTGCTTCTCCGAAGAAGGGGCGGCCGCGGCGGTGGGGCCGCCTCGGCCCTTGCGCCCGCCCCGAGGCGCGCGCGTGCGTGCGTTGGAGCCCTTGGGAGGCCGCCAGGTGGCTTGGGCAGCCAAGTCGGCAGCGGTGGCCCGGCGCCGGCTGCCTGGGGGCTCCGTCCGGCCTGCCGAAGGGCCGCAACGGCCCCGGCCGCGCGGCCGGCCCGTGCCAGCCGGCCCGCTCGCGGGGCCTCGCTCGCCGACGGTCAAGGCGGGCGCGGGGCTGGTGCGCTGCGCCGGGCAGGCCTGCCTGGGCGCTCCGCTGCTGCTGCGCTCGGCGAGGGGGCGGCGGACGATTGGCAAACCCCTGCGAAACAGGGAGGGGGGGAGGGGGACACGAGGAGAAACATCCCGCCGTCTCCGATTTCAGAGCTCTTCGGCCTCCCCCCTGCCGCTTCCGCGATACTTCGCTCACGCATGCGCCACCATGCCGTAGGCACTGCGTGGTATGTCTTCAGGTCCCTTTGATTGCTTCTTGGGGGCACCCTCGTCCGAACCAGTAAGAAACAACCAGACGTCCCCCGGCCTAGTCCCGCTGCCGTTCCTTCTCGGCAGTCTGAGCACGGATCGCAACAACACGCTCCAGAGAGCTCTCTCGCGTAGACCGTAGACATGTGCTGCTGCCTCGCAGCTCTGGCATGCGCACGGACTGCGGGGCCTGATTCCTGCGCCGCATAGGAAGCACGCGCTTCACGCGTGGGTTGCCGTCCCCGCTTCAGTCTGCACAGGACACTCGCACCTCCACTGTGCACTTCAGGATTGCAGCGCGTTGCCAACTCACGGATTTACTCCTGCGTGTAGCTGCCACGCACCATGCAACAATACAGTGCCAGCTCGTGCCCGTTACGTGAGGCATCAGCCAGCAAGGTGCTCAAACGTGAGGAGACCACTGCAGCCCACCTCGGGTCTGCCCTGGGCGGGAGCTCCGTACAATGAAAGACAGTTGTCGCATCTGTGGCCCCACAACCAGGACGTGCCAGCCTGTCGTTTCAGCTACTACCTTGCGCGGTCGCTCACGCCTCGGCGGACGCTGATGCTGAACCCTAGGGAAACACGGCAAGGTCGCCGCAACGAGAAGGACCAACGCCACAATTTCGATCCGCCCGCCAATTGGCCTGGCCTATCCACCTCTCGGGAGTCGGCAACATATCTACATCCTCCAGCTTCCGATGGGCAGGCGCTTGAACAACTGAGGCGTATTCATTATTACACATCTGCAGTCAGGCACCTCTTCGTAATTCCCCATAGCGCTGCTTGGCTGATAAGTGCTCGCCTGTGCTCAAGTTGCGCGACCTCACCACGTTCATACAATCGCTGTAGACTGCTGGTCCGAGCTTGGGCACAAAAACCGGCAACCGAACTAACTGCAACTGCTCCGCAGCTTGGCTAGCCGCCGGTCTGCAGGAAGCTCGGCCAAACAAATCCACGGGTAATGTATTTTCGTTCGCCGCGATCATCAAAGAAAACCAACGAGTACGCCGCTACGGACAGTTCGTTTACCGTATGCCTGATACACGACCCGCCACCCGCCTGTGAAAGGCCCGAACCGTCGAACCCATCCCATGGTACGATGTCCCCGCCACTAGCAGCTGTGGGCCACTTGCCGTCGCTCGGACGTCCATTTCCCGTGCATTTTTCGGTTTCGTGCGTGTTTTTTTTTTTTTCCTCGATAATCCAGGATCGTCCTCGATGGTTCTCGCCGAGAAAAAAATCACACGTCCGAGCGATGCCAGGGCCACGTCGCGGCCGTGTGTCGGAGCTTGGGCTCCTGGCCAAAGCGTGGGCCACCGCTCCTCGCGTTCTCGAAGAACGCGTCGGGCGCCGTCGCTGGAACTCGCGCGGCCGTTGACGTTGGCATGCTGGCACCCGTGCGTCCCATGGCCTACGGAACCTGGTTCTCGACAGGGTGGGCACAGACCTAGCGTGAGATAGCCAACCATTTGGGCTCTGCCCTCCGTCCAAAGCCCTCGCCCCCGCCATGACCAAGAGCGCCTTCGCAGAAAAATGCGGGGGGCGCTTCGGGACGTTCAAGCACCCCAGGAACGCACTCGACGATGCGGTGCCGCTGAAACGCACTCTGAGACTGGACAGAAGCTACGTGGACCGACGGAAACGTCAGAAAACCTCGAACTTCGCACCTCCTCTCGAGGACGGCTCGGGGCGCGGCGTACTTCCGGCACTGGCGCGCCGTCGGCGTCGGCGCCCAAGCACCTGAGGGGAAGCGATAGGGGGGCGGTGACTGGCCCAGCGGGGAGGACACCGACCTGGAGTCGGCGGCAGATCGCCGAGCCCCGGATCCGTTTCTGATGGCCTCGGGGCCCGGCCACAGGACCCGGAGGCCGAACTCGAGGAAGCACGCCTGGATCGAGAGAGTCGCGCCGTCGGAGAGCTGCCTCCTGAGGCCATCCTGTGTCCACGGCAATCTTCGCGGCAGAACCTTCGGTGGCCGTTCGGGATGCCTCGGGCACGCCCGGAACGGCCTCGACGAGGCGCAACTGCTGGAGACCCCCTTGGGCTTCGGAAACTCCCGAAACTTCCGAAAGGCTCCCGAATCCCCCCCCTGGCGGCGCCCCAGAGGGGACGCCGCGAGGGGGCTGGCCTGCCAAGGAGGCGGAGGGGCTTCTTAGAGGGCCGGGGCCTTCTGAGAAGGGCCTTCTCAGAAGCCTTCTTGAGGGAGGGGCTTCTGAGAAGGGCCTTCCGCGAAGGGGCCTTCTGCGAAGAAGGCGGAGGGTCTTCTCAGAAGCCTTCTTGAAAGCTGGGTGGGTTTCTACGAAGCCCCTCTTAGAAGCCCCGCCGCCTTCTCAGCAGTTTTCTTCCCTCGCGCCCCCCTTCTTGAAGCGTCGCCAAAAACGCCCGGATTGCGAAAATCCTATCGCCGGAGATCTGGGCCAGAGCATGCCTGAGTCCACTCCCCGCGTAAAGGGGCCCAGGGACACACACATAGATAGACACACATCCCAGGATTCAGCTACGTACTTTCCCAGATGCTCTGGGCTTCCGCCCCCCCCCCATTTCCCATACTTTCTTCTATTTTCCTGGGAGTCGACGATTCATTCCGTCTGCTTGCTTTTTCCCCTCCCGAGCGCATCTGCGACCCGCGCCCGCACCCCTCGCAGCGCGCGAGGCGGAGCGCGAGGAGCCCTGGCGGGCGAGCGCGGCGGGGCCGTCCTGGGCCGGGCGGTCGGGGCGCCGCTGCCATCGGCAGGTCCGCCGCCACCGCCGCAGCCGTCGCCCCTCCCATCGTCGTCGTCGTCGTCGTCGTCGTCGTCGTCGTCGTCGTCGTCGTCGCTCCCCGGAAGGAGACCCACATGGCAGGACTCGTATGCCTGACCACGCTTGTTCTGGCACACGCCTCACACGTGTCGCGGCCCCCTAGAGGAGCTCCACAGAAGTCACACATGCCATACGCCAATTCTGGCACACCCCGCACACGCCTCGTAGCCCCACACGAGCTCCATGGAATGTCCCAATGGCAGGACTCGTATGCCTGACCGCGCTTATTTGCCACTCGCCTGCAACGTCTTTCAGGCCCCATGGGGAACTCCACGTAAGGCTCTAGAGGGTGCGTCCACATGCGGCCCCCGCCCATACTGCAACGTGTTTCGGGCCCCATGTGGAGCTCCAGTGTCGGTGGCCGCATGACAGCCTTCCGCCCACTTCGCCCACCTACGGCCCCAGTGGCGGTGACCGCATGGCGGCCCCCCCACTTCGCCAGCCTCTGCCTCAAGCCGCATAGGGAGCCCCATCCAAGGCCCTGATGGCGGTGTTTGCATGGCGCCCCCCACCTCGCCCACCACTGCCAAGTTTTTACGCTCCGATAGGGGTCTCCACCTAACAGCCCCAGTGGCAAGGTTCACATCACGAGGACCATGGCACCATCGGGAGCTCCAACTCCAGCCCCAGCGGCAGGGTTGGCTCGGCGGCCCTTTCCAATTCGGCGCACCCTTGGTGAGGATCGTGGCCTCAGGAGGCATCTCCACCTACGGCCCCAGTGGCAGGGCTTGCATAGCCCCCACCCCCCTCACAAAAGAGCTCCACTTTCGGCCCCAGTGGGCGTGCGCGCATGCGGGCCCACGACCGATTCGGCACGCCCCGACACGGATCGTGCCCTCCCCCCCCCCACACAGGAAGCTCACCGCGCTTCTGCGCGCCTCCTCTGCAGCCCCTTCTCTGCGTTGCCCCGCGGCGCGAACTATATGAAGAGGTCCCCACTCCGCGCTGCACGACGCTGCAAACGGTTGGGCCCTTCACCCAGTTTTTTCTCAACAGCCCTGTGTTGAGTCGGGTCTTCGTTCTGATACAGCAGCACCCCGCGTCCTTCCCTCCTCCTCGCCCTCCCCCCTCCTCTCTCCCACCACCCCACTTTGGCACACCTCTCACACGTTTCGTGGACCCATGGGGTTGCACCCGCATGCCGCCGCCACCCCACTTTGGCGCACCTCTCACACGATCCATGGACCCATAGGGAGCTCCACCTGAGGCCCCAGTGGTGGCCCTCGCATGTTGCCGCCACCTCACTTTGGCGCACCCCTCACACGCTTCGTGGCCCCATACGAAGCTTCACCTAAGGCCCTAGTGGTTGCGTCCGCATGCTTCCGCCACACCACTTTGGCACACCCCTCTCGCTTTTCGTGGACCCATGGGGAGCTCCACCTAAGGCCCCAGTGGTTGCGCGCGCATGCCGCCGCCGCGCCACTTTGGCGCACCTCTCACACGGTTCGTGGCCCCTGAGGGAGCTCCTCCGTAGGCCCCAGTGGTTGCGCCCGCATGCCGCCGCCACCCCATGTCGGCGCACCCCTCATACACATCGTGGCCCCATGGTGAGCTCCACCTAAAACCCCAGTGGTTGCGCCTGCATGCCGCCGCCACCCCATGTCGGCGCATCCCTCACGCGCTTCCTGGCTCCAGAAGGAGCTTCACCTAAGACCCGTGGTTGCGCCCGCATGCCCGCGTCCGCTGCGAGTGATCACAGACACGGACATCCTTGAGCCAACCTCGAGCGGGGGATTGCCATGGCAAAGGACCTCCTGATCCTGATGGCACACAGCATGCGTAAGAAGACAACCCTCTGGACAATTCAGACACCACACTTCGAAAACAGGAGCCGTCGAGAAAGTACACTCCTCTCTTTTCGCGCTCTTTACAATCTCCTCTGCTGGGCCAACAGACGACAAGGCGCTCTCGCTCCTCAGACACAGGCCTCGTAAATGTCCCCAGGGTGTTCGAAAGGCCTCGGATGTACAGCAGGAAAGCCTGTGGGATCTGAAGGTGGACCTCCGACAGCGTGGGGCCTCGCCTCGGGGATGTTTACCAGGATGAGGTGGCGCTCCTCCTGGCACCCTCGGCAGGTCCACAGAGAGTGCAGAGAGGTGTCTTCTTCTCGTGCACTGGGGCTTCAGGCTGTATCTATACTGCTGGTTATCATTTCCCGGGTAGCCCTTCGCCAGAGGGTTCTAACAATGGGATTACAAAGAAACGCGCACACACGCACAGGACTCCCACAGGAGGGACAGGGAGACCGAGGGCGCCCGGTCTGGCAGCCACTTCGCCTGGGACTTCACCACGAGCTCTGCAAGAGCCGGGCTCTCGCCTCGCTCCGCCATCGCTCCGCCATCGCTGGGACGTCCCCGCCCTGTGCACTGTTCGGTGTCGTGCGTGCTCTGCGCAAGATGGCCCAAGACGCTCCTCGATGGTCCTCGCCGCGGAAAAGACATGCACACGCCCGAGCGACACTCGGCTCAATGCCGGCCCCATTTTCTTGGTCGGGACGGCCACGGCCCCCGGGCAAAAAACGAGCACCGAGGCGGTGCCCACGGCCGTGATTCTCGCCCCTGCGCCGGCCGACCTCCTGCTCCTCGGCCCGCCTCCTCGCTCGGGCTGGCCTTCGTGCGCCTTGCTGGGGTCGGTTGCCTTGTCCAGAGACCCCCGCAGCACATCGCGTGGATGGATGCCTTCTGCAACTTGGTGAATTCCAGAAGGAGGGCAGCCGTAACATCCTCTGCTGGCCAGCAGGAGCAGCACTGCCTCACTCGAACGACCTGGAACATTGGCAAACTGCTGCTTGAAGTGCCTTCTTGACGAACGCTGGCGAGCACAATATGAACACCAACATGTCGCAGAAGTCGTCGACGATGCGAACAAATTCGCCGGCCCAACGGGCCAGAGGCGTGCTAAGATCTCCGGTAACTGGTTAAGAATTCTCTAGTTCGCGCGCGCGGGGCGGCCCCTGGGGGTCCCCGGACGAAAAGTACCCCGGCAAGGTCCTGAGAGAGTCCCAGGAGGAGTCCCCTAGAGCGCTCCAGGAGCGCTCCATGAGCGCACCAACAGGGCTCCGAGACGTCCCCGAGAGCCCCAAGAAAGGCCAAGAGGCCCCCAAGAGGCCCCCAAGATGGTACACGAGGGGTCCGACATGCCACAAGATCGCTCCAAGACGCCCAAGATAGCCCCCAGACGCCCCAAGAGGCCTCCAGAGCACTCCCAAGAGGGCCCCCGGAGGCAAAATTCATTGTTTTTCCTTAGGTTTTTGAAAGATTTTGGAGCTTCCACCTTTTCGGTTCCCGACGCCCCAAGACGGCCCCAGAGGCCCCCAAGATCGCCCCAAGAGGGCCCAAGAGGCCCCCAAGAGGGCCCCAAGATGGCCCAAGAGGGCTCGAAGACGGCCCAAGAAGCCTCCAAGACGGTCCAAGAGGGCCCCAAGAACACCCCCAAAGGGGCCCCAGAGAGGGAACACGACACAAAATTTCGCGCCCTCGGCCCTAAGAAGCCCCTACGAGGCCCCAAGAGGCCCCTAAGAGGCCCCAAGAGGCCCCCACGAGGCCCTCAGGAGGCCCCCAAGAGTCCCCCAAGCGGCCCCAGGAGGCCCCCCAAATGCCCCCCCGAGCGCCCCAGGAGTCCCCCAAGCGGCCCCAGGAACCCCCAAAGCGCCGCATTGACACCAGGCCCTCGGGCAAACGGCAGACATGAGACCGTATGGGCCGGCGGAATGAGCGAAGCGATTCAATAACCTCATGCATCGCGCTACCCTCAATCATGTCAACTTCATGGATGGGATGGACCCGTCCGTTAACGTTCCTCTAACTAAACCCGCTTTAGCTTGTCCTCCTTCGAGGCCCCCCCTCCGGGGCGGCGATGGCGGAGGGGATCCGGGCATTGCGGGAAGGTCCCCGTTGAAAGACAATCGTCTGAGAATCGTCAATCGTGCCAGAAAACAAATCCTGGAACTTCAACGCCGCGGATCCACGTGACTGTTGCGTCCTGACAATCGTAAATCGTACCAGAACGCCATGTCTCGGACTTCGGCACCGCGAGTCAACGCCACGGTTGCGTCCTGACATCCGTAACTCCTGCAAGACAAGATACATGGTAAGGATTTCTGAAGCGAAGCGCCTGGCCCGCCCTACGGACACGTCAGGGGGTGCGACAGGGAGGTACTATTCCCCAAACAATGTTTGCATTTCAAGTTTTTTTTTTTTTTTTTTTTTTTTTTTTGTTTTTTTTTTCTCTTTTTTAATTAAAATATCCCGGCAAAGCAACCTAACAGCGATGTGTAGGAGCATATCTGGAAGCATCCCCCTTAAGATTCAGATGATAATCCAGTTGTAGAGTTCTGCTGTTCTCGCAGTCGTAGTCGCATTCGCGATGACAGTCGCAGTGGCCTGCATTAGCCTCAGCCTCAGCCTCAGCCTGCCTCAGCATCAGCCTCAGCCTCAGCTTCAGCCTGCCTCAGCCTCAGCCTCAGCCTGCTTCAGCATCAGCCTCAGTCTGCCTGCAGCCTCGGCCTCAGCCTCAGCCCTCAGCCTCAGCCTGCCTCAGCCTCAGCCTCAGCCTGCTCTCAGCCTCAGCCTCAGCCTGCCTCAGCCTCAGCCTCAGCCTGCTTCAGCCTCAGCCTCAGTCTGCCTTCAGCCTCGGCCTCAGCCTCAGCCTGCCTCAGCCTCAGCCTGCATCAGCCTCAGCCTCAGCCTCAGCCTGCCTCAGCATCAGCCTGCCTCAGCCTCAGCCTCAGCCTGCCTCAGCCTCAGCCTCAGCCTGCTTCAGCCTCAGCCTCAGTCTGCCTTCAGCCTCGGCCTCAGCCTCAGCCTGCCTCAGCCTCAGCCTGCATCAGCCTCAGCCTCAGCCTCAGCCTGCCTCAGCATCAGCCTGCCTCAGCCTCAGCCTCAGCCTGCCTCAGCCTCAGCCTCAGCCTGCTTCAGCCTCAGCCTCAGTCTGCCTTCAGCCTCGGCCTCAGCCTCAGCCTGCCTCAGCCTCAGCCTGCATCAGCCTCAGCCTCAGCCTCAGCCTGCCTCAGCATCAGCCGGCCTCAGCCTCAGCCTCAGCCTGCCTCAGCCTCAGCCTCAGCCTGCTCAGCCTCAGCCTGCAGCAGCTCGGCTGCTTCAGCATCGCCTGCAGCCTTCAGCCTCAGCCAGCCTCAGCCTCAGCCTCAGCCTCAGCCTCAGGCCGCTTTCAGCCTCAGCATACAGTCGCCTTCAGCTCGGCCTCGGCTCGGCCTCGTCTCAGCCTCAGCCTACCAGCTGCTTCAGCCTCCAGCCTCAAGCTGCTCAGCCATCAGACGCCTCCAGCCTCAGCCTCAGCCTGCCTCAGCATCAGCCAGCCTCAGCCTCAGCCTCAGCCTCAGCCTCAGCCTCAGCCTCAGCCTCAGCCTGCTTCAGCCTCAAGCCTCAGTCTGCCTTCAGCCTCGGCCTCAGCCTCAGCCTGCCTCAGCCTCAGCCTGCATCAGCCTCAGCCTCAGCCTCAGCCTGCCTCAGCCTCAGCCTGCCTCAGCCGCAGCCTCAGCCTGCCTCTGCCTCAGCCTCAGCCTCAATCTGCCTTCAGCCTCGGCTTCAGTCTCAGCCTGCCTCTGCCTCAGCCTGCATCAGCCTCAGCCTCAGCCTCAGCCTGCCTCAGCCTGCCTCAGCCTCAGCCTCAGCCTCAGCCTGCCTCAGCCTCAGCCTCAGCCTGCTTCAGCCTCAGCCTCAGTCTGCCTTCAGCCTCGGCCTCGGCCTCGGCCTGCCTCAGCCTCAGCCTGCATCAGCCTCAGCCTCAGCCTGACTCAGCATCAGCCTGCCTCAGCCTCAGCCTCAGCCTGCCTCAGCCTCAGCCTCAGCCTCGGCCTGCTTCAGCCTCAGCCTCAATCTGCCTTCAGCCTCGGCTTCAGTCTCAGCCTGCCTCAGCCTCAGCCTGCATCAGCCTCAGCATCAGCCTGCCTCAGCATTCAAAATGTGGCCAGGGAATGGAATTCGGGGAACTCGAAGAACACGAAGTGGCCTACAGTTTGCTCCGGGTATTCAAAATCATACCCAGGAATGGAGTTCTGGGAAATCCAAGAGCACGAAGTGGCCTACAGTTGGCTCCGGGCATCCAAAATGTGGCCCGGGAATGGAGTTCTGGGAACTCGAAGACCAGGAAGTGGCCTACAGTTGGCTCCGGGCATCCAAAATGTGGCCCGGGAATGGAGTTCTGGG